CAAGCAGTTTCTTCTCCTTTCTTTTTTTGTCAGTAAGTAAAATTATATTTCTGTGCTTTACTTTGCTGGTTGAATGGGGGAAATGCTGTGCTATTTAATTGCTTGGTCAAATATGTTAGTGGGGCTGCTGTTTAATTAATGCAACAAGAGAAAATAACGGTCCACACATCATTAGGGTTGGATATCGAGCATGGATTGGAACCAGTTCCAACTGTTAGTTTTTCCCGGAATCGATCTAATTTTTTTATTTCGATTCCTAGTTTCTATTTCTGTCCCGTCCTGAATGCCGACGGAAGAGGAATGCATGGCCGATCTCCGTGAAGAATTAACGTCATCTGCAAATTGTGATCAACGCTTTTTAGAGCTGATCACACCAGCTGTGTGTCTGCAGCACGAGCCCCCCCCCCTCCCCCCACCCAGATATAAACAAACGTGTCTGCCGAACTTTTACTCCGTGATGTAAACTTTAACTCCTGCAGCGTAGAGGAAACCTGTTAAATACATGAACACGGTGGATTTAATAGAAGCTTTAAAGAACAAACTCTGGACGGTGTGAGGTGAGTTTGTCTCACTGCAGAAATACAAACACACACGGAGCGTCAGCAGTCAGACACAGCCAGCTATGTTTAAGTTTCACTTCCTGTTGTGACTGAATGCTGCTGCAGCATGGAGGTGTAGTTCTCAGTCATCCTGGACATGATCATCCTGAGAGTTTTAGCTGAAAACAGCTGGACGTTTCTGGATATGTTGGAGACATTTAGCCTCTCATCCCAGAGGCTTCTTCCAGACTTTGGTTGTGGTCAGAAACAAACACACTGGTTGTGCTGCAAGTCTTTTCTTTTTCTCCAAAACATGTTTTTGTCTAATTGAAGGTGATGTTGTTGTTCATAGAGTTAAAATTCATGTTGAAGTTAAGATTATTTCATCAAGTAGGACCTGTGGTTAGCTGGCTCATGTAACACATGTCATGTCTTGAAAGAATCGGAATTGGGAATCGATAGGAACCGGAACCAGAATCGAAACGAGGATATTGGAATCGGAATCATTCAAAATGAAACAATGCCCAACCCTGCACATCATCCCAACATGTCCAGGAAGACAAAGATTGACGCAGAAGGAAGGTGTTTCAACAAAGATGGAACATGTTGATGCTTCAAGGAGAAAAACCGGTATCTTTACAGTCATTAGCACCCATGCTACTAGCATAAGCATCTGCAGCGTTACCTCCTCTGCCTCGGACAAACTGAGAACACTCCTCTTACTCAGCGCCGAGTTTACCCAGCAATTAGCCAACTTTGAAGCCCAGAAATGGATTTTAACAGCTCAGTAATGTTTGCTGCTGACATAGAAAGCACACAGACCAACTACCAGACAGAGATGATTTAACTCCAGTTAAGCGACACGCCCAAGTCAGTATGACTCTGTGGCTGCTGCGGCTTTGATCCCCCTCCCCGACACAACAGCGTGGTCCAGATGCTCTCCATGTCCAGCAGCACAAACCTGTGTGAGCAACTGTTTCTCACTGATGAACTCCTTCCTCAGTTCAGAGCCCAACCCCACAGGTGCAGTTCTGGCTGGAACAGGTGAGCATCACAGGAAACCAGAGTGGAGAACTGTCTCAGCTGTTATTTTCGTTAAGGAGTGTGCACGTACAGCATGCGCGTCTCGTGCACGAGCCTACTATTGAAGCTGCTGTTACACGTTTGGCCTGAGGGGGCAATCGCGAGCATAAAAATTCTAAACTCCGCAAAGTCCCTTCAAACAAAATTAAGACATAAATAACGAATACCATTGATGTGCTTTTTTTAAAATGGACTTACTCGTGTGTAATGTGGTTATTCCACATTCAGTGTTACTGCAAAAATAAGTCTGTTTCCACATGAAAAGGTTCACCCTTTCATACCTGTAGATAAAGGAGAATGTGCACATTTACCGTCACTTTTAAAAAACATTGAGTATGATCCGCGATTTCGTCCCAGTTTTTCATTTTGGCCCAGTGGGAATTAGAGTTCCACACCCCTGCCCTAAAGCATTCTGGGAGTGTCGAGTCGGCTCCTAGCTCTGTGTCGACACAGTGCCAGTAGCCGAGTTGACAATGGCAGACTCGAGGATCTTTGACTGCGGTGGACCAGAGAAGCCCGATATCCTCGGTCAGCTTAACTAGTTATGATTTTGTTACTAAGCAGTCCGGAAGTGCCTTCACTTTGGAGTTGCTCTACCTCGTGTTTCTTGCTAAAAATGCCTGGGAAAACTCTGTTAGCTTCAGGATAGCATATAGCTAATGTCCCACTGATCTCCGACCGTGGAGCATGAGCTGATGTAAAAGGCCACAGCGCCCAGCTATGTTCGCAGCGGTCTGAGGTTCTGCTTCAATTAAACAGTCCCAGTCCATATTGGTTCATTTGTTCCAACCCTGTTCCAAACATAACAGCTCCACCTTTTTTATTATTAGATTGTATGGGCATGACGAGACGTGCAACACGGTAAAAAAAAAAAAAAATCATTGGTGGAAACCTCCCATTGCTGGCTTCAACCTGCCTCCCGAGAGAAATAATGGGCAGGCTATGTCCATAATTTTTTATATGTCGATGCTCAGAAGGGTGTCGTTGGTCTGGCCGCCTTTTCTAACAGCATGGTTTGGTATTTACCCCCTACGTGTCCTCTACTTTTCAGTCCCTGTTTATTGATGTCCCAAGGGTTGAGCCCAAGGCCATCGTGACTGTCTTCTGCGGATTGGCTAGGGGGCGGAGTAACTGGTTGCTCCGGAGCTTTCTGACTGCTGCCTACAACCTTTTCCTGGTACTGAGTCTGTCAAAAAGCCATAAAACTGAGCAGAAGGTTCAACATTCACCGTCATTGTTACAGATCACCTCACACAGTTTAAAGACTCCCTCCCCCTCTCACCGCGAGTGCCTTTGGTCCCTCCTCCCATGGCACTAAGATGACACCCATTTACTGTCTCAAAAATGGCAGGAAGAAGAAGAAAAAAATATCATTTCTATAGCGCCTCTCAAGATGAAAATCACGAGGCGCTCAGGAAGACCAACTACACTGAGGTGAGTTGAGGTAACCCATGTTGTACTGAGCTGTTTTAGGCTGAGTACTGCTGATGGAATAAACCCAAAACTCCACCACAGTTTGTTGGCAGTTCAAGTCGTGTTGCTTACTGGAGGATAACAACATTCTCAGGGGGGCAATTAAAAATCATATAATAGAAACATAAACATCTTAACAGTTAATTCATCAATAAAATGCCTTTATAACTGCCCTTTTAATAAATAACAATTATAAAAAAATCATTATTTCAAGATATTAAACATTCATACAGTTCCTTCTCAAAACATTTGCATATTGTGATGAAGTTCATTATTGTCTGTAATGTACTGATAAACATTAGACTTTCATATATATTAGATTCATTACACACAACTGAAGTAGTTCAAGCCTTTTATTGTTTCTAATATTGATGATTTTGGCATACAGCTCATGAAAACCCAAAATTCCTCTAAAAAATAGCATATTTCACCCGACCAATAAAAGAAAAGTGTTTTAATACAAAAAAGTCAACCTTCAAATAATTATGTTCAGTCATGCACTCAATACTTGGTCGGGAATCCTTTTGCAGAAATGACTGCTTCAATGCGGCGTGGCATGAAGGCAATCAGCCTGTGGCACTGCTGAGGTGTTATGGAGGCCCAGGATGCTTCGATAGCAGCCTTAAGCTCATCCAGAGTGTTGGGTCTTGCGTCTCTCAACTTTCTCTTCACAATATCCCACAGAGTCTCTACGGGGTTCAGGTCAGGAGAGTTGGCAGGCCAATTGAGCCCAGTAATACCATGGTCAGTAAACCATTTACCAGTGGTTTTGGCACTGTGAGCAGGTGCCAGGTCGTGCTGAAAAATGAAATCTTCATCTCCATAAAGCTTTTCAGCAGATGGAAGCATGAAGTGCTCCAAAATCTCCTGATAGCTAGTTGCATTGACCCTGCCCTTGATAAAACACAGTGGACCAACACCAGCAGCTGACATGGCACCCCAGACCATCACTGACTGTGGGTACTTGACACTGGACTTCAGGCATTTTGGCATTTCCCTCTGCCCAGTCTTCCTCCAGACTCTGGCACCTTGATTTCCAAATGACATGAAAAATTTGCTTTCATCCGAAAAAAATACTTTGGACCACTGAGCAACAGTCCAGTGCTGCTTCTCTGTAGCCCAGGTCAGGTGCTTCTGCTGCTGTTTCTCGTTCAAAAGTGGCTTGACCTGGGGAATGCGGCACCTGTAGCCCATTTCCTGCACACGCCTGTACACGGTGGCTCTGGATATTTCTACTCCAGACTCAGTCCACTGCTTCCGCAGGTCCCCCAAGGCCTGGAATCGGTCCTTCTCCACAATCTTCCTCAGGGTCCGGTCACCTCTTCTGGTTGTGCAGCGCTTTCTGCCACACTTTTTCCTTCCCAGACTTCCCACTGAGGTGCCTTGATACAGCACTCTGGGAACAGCCTATTCGTTCAGAAATGTCTTTCTGTGTCTTACCCTCTTGCTTGAGGGTGTCAATGATGGCCTTCTGGACAGCAGTCAGGTCGGCAGTCTTACCCATGATTGTAGTTTTGAGTAATGAACCAGGCTGGGAGTTTTGAAAAGCCGCAGGAATCTTTTGCAGGTGTTTAGAGTTAATTAGTTGATTCAGATGATTAGGTTAATAGCTCGTTTAGAGAACCTTTTCATGATATGCAAATTTTTTGAGATAGGAATTTTGGGTTTTTATGAGCTTTATGCCAAAATCATCAATATTAGAAACAATAAAAGGCTTGAACTAATTCAGTTGTGTGTAATGAATCTAATATGTATGAAAGTCTAATGTTTATCAGTACATTACAGAAAATAATGAACTTCATCACAGTATGCTAATTTTTTGAGAAAGACCTGTAGTTCTTTTCTCTTTTGAAGAATAAAAATAAATAAAAACAAACATGTGAGAGAGGAAAGGATCATTTCTACCTGTGTCACTGATGAGTTGTTGACATTTCTTAAAGTTGAAGTGTTTTACAGCTACTGGTTGACCATCATATCTCGCTTTGTAGATGGTGGTCCCGCTGCCTCCTTGACCAATGATGTTTTCTGTCTCTGCTGACAACTCCAGCTTGGATTTTTCCAAAAACAGGCTGACACACACACACACACACACACGCACACACACACACACACACAAAATGCCCCTATTACATTAAGCGCCATTACGCATCTATGGAAAGACCGGATAACTCTGATAGGATGATGAGTTTTATGGCTGTGCTCAAACACGTAATCAAAGAGTTTACCGTGCAGGGAAGTCAGTCATCAAGAGTTCTGGGACCAGTTCTTTCAGGAAAACCAAATGGTCAGGGTGTAGAGGACAGGTGATATGTTCCTTTTCCATGGCAGCTAACACACAATCTTCCATGTTAAAGTAATGAGCACCAGCTGCCTTTCCTCCTCTCCCAGTTTCTCCATGCATGTCCTGCTCCATCACCTTGTTGGGCTCGGCAGAAAAGAGCTCCTGCTGTTTCTGAAGGTTTTTAGAGGTGCAGAGAGAACACGGCACATACTGCTCCATAAGAAGACTCCCATCAGTCTCACTGGCAGTCAGGGCTGAGAGAAAAGACAAAAAACAGAGGAAACAGTGTCTTTAGAGTAGGAAAGCCAGAAACTGGGTGTGACACTTGGGCCACAATCAGCTATAGAAACAATCAAGCCTCGATTCCACTGCCCAAACTGGCACAGAACAGGGAAGGTCGGCTTGCAAATTTTTCTGTCCTGATTGTAAAACTGGTCTAGACAGCCGACCCGGACCGTGTCAGTCATGGGACTTTTTTAGCCCCTGTCTGTTGTAGGTCCAAAAATTTGAGGAGCAGTCCAGTTACCCCTACACTGGAAGCATCAGCAGCACACAATGGTAGCAGCACATTACTGCTTCGAATTAAAATCCATTATAGCATCTGGGGGTGACTTAAATAAGCCACGATGCAGAACATTTTCAGGCGCATCCTGGAAGAGGGATGCTGATAGGACTAGGTTCTATTTTTGCCATGAGCCACTTCTGGGACACGACAGTTTCCACAGTTAACATAAGGCTAGACAGGAAATCACTTACGGTTTCAGTGTAAAACCCCCCAATAATTTTCTAAATAAAAGACTATTTCAGGTATGCACTTTCATATCTATGTAGATCCCATCAATAAAAGTGACCTAACGCCTTATTTACTCCAAGCATTGTTACAGTGTTCAAGTGCAGTGGTGTGTTTTTCATGGCTTTAATTCTGGAAGTGGAGAGGAACAACATCGTGTATGTCAGGCCTATTCAATCCTGGTCCTTGAGGGCCAGTATCCAGCACATTTTGGTTTTAAACCTGCTTCAACACACCTGATTTCAATCAGTAGGTGATTAACAGGCGTCTGCAGAGCCTGGTGAGCTGTTGCACAGGTGATTTAACCACTGAATCTATTGTGTTGGCCCAGAGAAGCCACTAGATTGCGCTGGATACCAGCCCTCCAGGCCTGGAACCGAATAGTAGTATATAATAGTTGATGTGACATCAAACAGTGAAATCAAATGTGAAGGTTCAGGCACAGACCATCCGTCCAAAAGGTATAAAACAGTTGGAAGGCAAATAACACCAATGCTACTCAATTGTTTTAAAGGGACTTTACAGAGTTTTGAATTTTTATGCTAGCGATTGCCCCCTCAGGCCAAAAGCGTAACGGCAGCTTCAATAGTAGGCTCGTGCACGAGGCGCACATGCTGTACGTGCACACTCCTTAACGAAAATAACAGCTGAGACAGTCCTGTGTGTGTGTGTGTGTGGCCCGGAGGACAGAGGACAGAAGAACGCGCAGCTAATTAATTAAATAATTTGGTTCTGTACCTTTCTCTTCAGCACAGCCGACAAAGGTTTATGATGGGTCAGTCCTCCTGCATGCTCTTGAAAAATTGTTCCAAAATGAAAGTTGAACCCACATCTTTTTCATCTGTGAATTCAATGCTGTTCGGCGAGTATCAAATAAAAAATTTGGACATCTTACTGTAAAAAATATACCATTAATGTAAAACAGAAACTCTAAATGAACTATGTTCACATTCAGAATCGAACCCCAGGTCTTCTGCACGAGAGTCCAACGTCTTACTAGGTGAGCTAAAGCACCAGTGGTGTCATTTGTATCTGTAACATTTATATCCTTGATGACAGCTTAAACAACGTTCAAAGAACGGTTCGGAGCGAAAATGGCTGTTTTGTTGCTAATTTGCAGGAAATATCTAGAAGTAGCTAAGGGTCCTCAGAAATGTAGCTAGGTTCATCACTAGGCGTTAGAAACAGCGACAAAGTCACTGAGTTGGCACTACCTCACTCTCTGTTACTAAAGCTACTGATAGCAAATGCTACGGGCTATGCCTGAGCGTGAACGCGCATGAAGCAGCCTGCTCGACCCAAACATCTCTCTTTTTCTGTGATTTTACAGAAAAACAGGCAATCACAGTAAAAATGCTAGGGCTCATTCTACAGGACCAGGGCATTGCAGGAGAATGTATGAAGAAGACATTTATTACTTCTATACATGTTTTGGCTGTCAAACTTCCATAATGCCCTTTTAACCATACATTAAGAACAGGAGTAGCCCCACAATCTTGGAAAGAAGCAGTCATCTCAACTATCCCAACAGAAGGGAAAGATAAAAGAGAATGTAGCTCATATAGGCCAATATAAGTCCTTAATGTGGAACACTAAACAGGCTTTGTCTCAAACAGGCAGGCTCAAGATAACCTGTTTGCTTCACAGCCAGACAGGACACAGGAATAAAAAAAAAATCTGTATTGTTATTGTTTTTTAATTCTTTATAATTTCGAACAGACACAGAGACAGAGGTGAAAGAGAAAGGAAGAAACAAAAATAAACAATCAATGATGAACAAGAGTCTGCTTCTAGACCTGCAGAAACAGAAAAACAAACCCAAAATAAGGGGACACACAACAATACAACTAAAGCTAACTATCACTGCATCAACCTGATGAGGTTGTTTTACTGAACAATCACACGATAATAAATCACAGTGCATTTAGTGCCAGCCATAGCCTTAAGACGTGTTGAAAATGCCCAAGTCCATACTTATGAGAGCACCATGTGAGCACCTGTGTACGTACACGCGCTTGTATATGTAAGGTTTCTCTATAGGAGCATCCAGTAGAGTGTGTGAGGGGCCACACATCTGCCCCCCCAAAGATGTGTAGGAGATGGAGCTCCAAATCCCAGTGATCCAGTAGCTGTCCCAGAGCGCAGGGACCCCAGGGAGACTGTAACCAGAAAATCCCCAGTCCCCTCTCTAGAGACGCAGAGGATTGCCCCGGGGGGTCACAACCAGCAGCCGGCAGAGTCCTGGGAGATATCAGTGACAAGCCCATGGGCCCGCCCGCAGCATCCCACCCTCAAGCCGGCCGAGCCTGGAACCCAGCGACCCAGAACCCAGGGACAACCAGCTCTGCCAGGGACCCAACAGAGCCCAGGGACACAGATCCCACCAGGCAGCCACCGGGATCAATCAGGCAGATGCCAAAAATCTTAAACCCCCTGACCTGGGAGCTGCGAACACTCAGGCAGACCAAGGCACCACACTTCACACCAAATATGGCAGGGGGAGAGTAGACGAAGATGTATAGTAGCCAAAGACGTCTGAGGAGAGGGGAGGAGTCCAAGACCCCACCTGACATATACAGCCATACACAGACACAGTCACAGACTCCCTCCCTCATGCTCACACATACACATACAACCTAAGACTTACAGAAATGAATGCTAGACACCCACTCACGCTCCCCATACACACCCTATTCACTCTGGTCCTGGTACTGCTGCACAATGGGGACAACCATCACCGGTTCCCAGGGCTCGCCCCTTTCTGCTGAGGGTAATGATGAGCAGGCACCCCCGCCCAATGCCGAGCAAAGCATCCCACCACCCCAGACCCCAACATGACGGCCAGCTCCTCCTCCTAGCCTCCAGCCCCAGGAAGCCAAGCAACAATAGAGGTGTGCTAAGACCCCTAGTCTCCTTCCGCCTGCTCCAATAGGTGTTAGTGCATGTTGATGAGGTGTATTCCATGGCTGTGGTGAGCAGGCAGTGGAGGCATCATCTGGCCTACGCCAGCTGATGCAACACATAACCTCACTTCGCTCCACAGCCCTCTGTGTCTAAGTGCAGTTTAAAATTGGAAGTGGGCACTGGCATGCGGGGCTGAAAGATCCACTGGCCAAATGCCACTGTGTGTGCTCACTCCCAAGGCCCTAAGTGTGTGTTTGCGTGTAATGCCGTTCCCAAAATTCCACCCAGGGCATGGAGACCCCCAGCCCATCTCGCCAGGGCCCAAAGCAGCAGCATCGCAGAGCCCCACAGAGTCCGAGGGGACCAACCCAGCCCCAACCCAGCAGAATATCTACTCCCATCTCTGCATTTGCACAACTTCCATAATGTTTAAGACATGAGACATCCAGGTAAGGTTGGGTCCTCCCCCTCTTGGACATCCCCCTCCTTCGTGATGGGACAAAGTTGTTATTATTCCAGAGGAGCCAAGGTCCACCTGAGGCCCTTGAGCCTGGGTGATGCGCTGCCGCTTGTTCCTGCCTTCTTTCCCAGCAGCTTATGAGTCAGGACCTCATCCCCAAGTACCCGCCCAGATCCCCACACGGGGCCCGCCACCATGACTTCTTTATCTCTTCCAGTCATTGCCCCTGGAGATACCCCAAAAACAATTTGATAAATGGGATGGATGGATTACAAGATTCATCTAGAAGAGCAAAAGACCAAGGGTCCAGTATAAAACATTGCAGTTGAAAAAAGAAAAGGGAGTGAGAGCCTTACCGTCTCGACAGGATTATTGTTATGCCGCGCAAGTGAAACCCCTGGTAAACTGGTGTTACCCAAACTACGAGGCTAAATGGAAAACCATGGAAATTACTCACTTAGACACCTCAATACAGTCGCTACTAGAAAATAAAAGCCAAGCTGAAAAACTTTACAAAAGTCTGAATCAATCGGCCCAGTTCTCTCTCAAACTATGGTTCAAGGTAGTAAGGAAACTACAAATAGAAAAACAGGTTAAGACCTTGAACTGGATAGCTCATGACCCAGAATTTGTGCCTGCTAGACTGGATGGGACCTGTCAGGGGAATTCCTTCTTTCTGTACGCTGGCCATAAAAGGGGGATTTCAGAGCTATCAAACTATCTCAGATACATTTGGTTTGGAAAAGCGTGACTTCTTATAGATATCTGCAAGTTAGAGACTATTGTAACAAGAAATTCCTATTCAAACAGGAAAAGGAACATAACCTAATTTATATCTTTCAAGATGCATGCAAAAAAAAGGACACTAAAAATGTATTTAAAAATACAGTGGGGCAAAAAAGTATTTAGTCAGCCACCTATTGTGCAAGTTCTCCCACTTAAAATGATGACAGAGGTCAGTAATTTACATCATAGGTACACTTCAACTGTGAGAGACAGAATGTGAAAAAAAATCCATGAATTCACATGGCAGGATTTTTAAAGAATTTATTTGTCAATCAGGGTGGAAAATAAGTATTTGGTCACTTCAAACAAGGAAA